GCTCCTCTGCAGTGGAGGATGCAGCTGTGCCCCATCCTCACTTTTGGGGAGCTCCACTCCCCCTGCTTGGCACCCAAAATTCAGGCAACACCCGAATATTAGGGTACCTGTGTCCTTGCACGCAGCTCCCCACCCTGATGGAAACCAGAGAGGGGAAGTTATCCAAATCAGATGCCCTTTCCCACTAACCTGCTGGAGGAAACCTTTAGCAGGCGACCCGCCAAGGCGTCCTCAGACTGACAACAGCTTTTCCGAATGCCATCCAACTCGGAGGCGATAGGGAAAGCTCAGTAAATAAACCTTCCTCGGGTGCCATGCTCATCCTCATGGCATCCCAGGGCCTCCTGGCAGCACAGTGGCATGGTGACTCATCCATTGGACATGTTGTTTGTTCTCTCCCTGCCAGGAGAAGCACGCGGAAGGCTTGTTTTGGTAGGGTTGTTTGTCTTTTTTTAATTATTTTTTTGTATTTGTGCTCGAGGAGTGAGCTGGCAGTGAAAGCAGAGGTGCAGGTAGAGTCACACGGGAGAAGGTTCCCCCTTTTTTCGCTGATAAATGACAGAGCTGCTCCAAAGAGTGGGGAAGATGATAGTGCATGTGCACACTCCGCCCCACGCCCTCCTAGGGATTATTTCTAGTAGATTTCTACCATTCCCTCCTGAAAAAAATCTCCTCGGCCATAATTTTTAACTGGCAGAAGGTCAGCAGCATCGTCTAAGGTGTTTCATGACCTCATTTGCCAGGGCAGATCTGAGGAGCCCTTATCTGCGAGGCCCCTTGGACCAGCTCACCTTTGCCAGCGCGGTGTGGGCATCATGGGGAATTTTGTGCCGCTCAGGGGTGCCAATCAAACCTGGAACCTTTGCTGTGAACTTCAACGGGAGTGCAGGAGTTTAGGTACATGCAAAAATCAATGCCTTCCCAGGGGCGTCATTTCAAGTCCATGGGATACAGGGAGTTGTAGTCCCAGCCTCTGCCACCAGCAGGGGAAAGCTGACATCGCAGCTCCAGTGAAAAAGGCTGTTCTGAGCAACAATTTCCAAAAGAGGCTACGTAATTATTTCACTCAGATAAGCCCAGGAACATTGTGTGAAGCTATGTGCACACAGCAATAGTCGAGCGCTCTGAGCAAGGGAATTCAGAGCTGTCAGCAAGGAGGGAAATATTGCTTTGGGGGATTGAAAACATTCATGAAAAATTCCTGGCTCCCAGCCTAGTTGGTCCCGTTGCCGGCCGTGCTCGCAGCTGCGTATTTTTCTTCGGGGATGGAGTTGCAAGGAGGTTTTTTTCCCCCTTTGCTGCAACACATGGCCAAAAAGGCACATCTTAACCTGGACTAGTGAGTGCTGAGCCTTTGGCCGACCAAAGTCCACCTGGCACTGTGGGGTTTTGCAGGGTTGTGCTGGCTCGTCCCCACCAAGCCTCTGGCTCGCTTTCTCACAGGGACCAGCGCAACAGCTGTAGCATGAGCCCAGTGAGATGTATGCATGCAAATCGTGCTGCTGACATCAAATTTTAAGTTGTGGGTGTCCAACGCCGCCTTTTCCAGACCGTGAGAGTCCAGTTCCCCGAACTCAGAGGAGAACCAGCCAGGAAACGTGGGGTTAAGTTGAAACTTCCCACATGGCCCCACAACATAACCTTAACTCTTCCCTCCTGGGAATGGCAATAGGAACTGGAACAGGATCTTATCCCTCCTTGGCTGTATTTGACACATTCCCTCAACATAAACTCAAGTTCTCAACATAAAGCCAAGGGATTTGGAGGCTACGTCTACGCTGTCGAATGAAGGAGGGCCATGGGGTTATCCACGACCCCGAGGTGGATGGCTGTGAGGGATGGAGAAGTATCATTCTTTTTGGCTCACGGTCGGATTGAGTTGAGCATCTTCGGTCACGATGCGGGCGGGACTGACACCTGGAGGCGTCTGGATGGGACGCCCCGGAGGTTATTCACTAAGTGCCCTGCATGGACATGGGAAAGGAGCGTTGGTCCTCATTGCTTGGGAGTTGGGCACTGTAGCATGGTGAGTTGAAATGGCCTTGGGACCTCTGGCTCGTAATTCACCTTGTATGCCTTACCCTGTCTCTGTTTCAGGCCAATGTGAAAGCACAAATGTCTTGACTTTTCCCTTTAGCATGTACGAGTGATCAAATACTATTTTTCTGCCTCGATTTCCTTTCTTACCCCTCTTTCTGCCCCCCAGCAGGACCCATCATCAGCATGTGACCTAGGCACATGAGCTGCCCTTTCTTCTAGTGCAAAAAAACCCCACAACATAAAAAATACAGAGAAATCTTGGCAGTCCCCTTCTGCAGCCACAGGATTTATCTTCCCAGTACTTGCAATACCCTCCCAGCCCCGTGAAGCAATCCATCTCTCACCTGCTATTACGGAGTTCATCTCACAGACCTAATGGAGTACGTGACTCCTGAATTGGCTCTCGCTAATGCTTTCGGTGGCCGGGTCGCTGTGGGAAGCGAGCTGGGAATTAATTTTGAAAATCAATGCGGACGCCGATAGAGCGGCTTCCCCCAGGGAAGCAACGTGCTTTTACCGGGCATTGCCACCTTCTCCCCTTTGTCCCCTGTTTTCTTTTATGTGGTTGGAGTGACTGTGGAGTAATTCATCCTGCTTTCAATGAGCACGTCTTTTGCACTGCGCTCTCTGGTTTTCCCAAATCAGACTGATTTTTTGGAAAAGATTAGGGTCTCCTGGCAGTGCGGGGTTCACTGGGCTCCTCAAAGTGTTGTGATTTGAATTTTCTGTGCCCTGGGGTGGTGCTGGGGACCATCTCCTCTGTGCAGCCCCATCTCTCCCCTTAGGCTCTGTTGGCACAAATAAGTCACTGTAATTTCTGACTCCTGAGTGTATTTTGGCCTGCCACGGCTTTTCCATGCAACGGCAAGTGCAGAGCCCACAGCGATAGTGTTGGAGGACTGCTCAGGGCAGATGGACCCCAACCCAGCGCAGTTCACAGTTGTCCCCAGAGGTGACCTTCATGCTGGGATGGGGACATAAAACTAACCTGCCATCCTCATACCATCCTTGGAAGAGTCTTGGCCAAAGCCCAATGTCATGGGCAATTCCTGGTTATGATTCAGGAGGCAGCAAGACCAGGGGCTGTTCCTGAGAGGCACTTTGGGTGCAGCCACCCTGTTTTTGGTAGCAACGTGGGTATGGACTCTACCACACTGGCTGATCTCAGAGCACTTGATTTGGGACTGACGTTTGGGACTCACAGAGCTCTTAAGACTCTTTTTCCAATGGGGATCAGTCTGCACTGCTATGGCATAAATATTTAATAAGAATGAGGGTCAAGGCACTGTTTTGTCCAAGGACACCGAGACAGCCATTTACTCCCATGAAAAGCACCGAGGGATCTTTAATGCCCATGCAAAGAAGATAGGAATTGGAGTTCTAAGCTCTCATCCCCCAGCATTAATGTCAATGTTAAATATTGATTCTTTCTGTGTTTAGCACAAACCAAACAACAAGAGTCGAGCCACGCTTTTTGGCTTTTATTAATGTACTTTTTCTGCATCGGGTGAAGTTTGCAGTAACGCCAGGAAAAAAAATGTAGCAGCAATGAACGAGTGGCAGACAGATCGATTTTGTATCTTGACACGATTCAGAAGTCAGTGAAAAATCACCCTGTGCGCAGCACCTCCTTGTCCGAGCCATGACAGCCATTTTACAGAGAACTCATTTATCTGCAGTGTAAGAGAGTCAGGCCCAAAATTTCTGGTAGGTTCTGGGATTTGAAGGAAGGAATGAAAAAAAGAGGTTGGAAATCTGTAAAATCCCCCTCATGCCCATGTCGGAGCAGGTTCCCTTGTAGGTGTCTGAAGTCAAATTTGAAGAGCAGGTGGACATCATGTTGGGGGAAACCTGGGAGCAATCCCTAAATCAATGGCAGCCAGAAAATGCATGGATTTACCCAAGGAAAGATGGCCTTTTTGTTAGGGTTTGGGTCTTTTCTGCATTTTGCATCAGCACCAAATAAATGTAAATCACAACTATTATAAAGGGTGACTTCAGTGAACCGCAATGAGTGGTTTTCACATGCCAGGAGGGCATGCATGGCAGGGACACCATGCATTGTCTTCTGCATGGTCTTCTGCAGCCAGAGATGGATCAGCTTTCCCCAAATATTCTGCAGCTTATGAGTTTTCTGGGGTTTGGTGTAGGTTTTTTTTTCTTGTAATGGGGGTTTACAGCTTGGCTGTAAAAATTCATCCCAGGTTCAAATTCTTGGAGCACATTTATTAGAGGGCTGGAGTAGTCAGATGATTATTCCTGACCTCTGGGATATTCTCTGTTGAAATGAATTTAATATTTTAAAGTGTATTTCTCCTTGAGCAAGGGGAGCAGGCACTAGGAGTCACGCCTTGGGTCTGCATCCCATTTTACTAGCAGAAAACAGCTGGAACTCTTTCGATGTCACAAATTGAATAGAGAACTGGGGAACGTGGGAATATTTTTCATCTCTGCTGCCATTACGTCCATCCACATTCCCTGGCCTCAGTTTACCCAACTGTAAAAGGATAGCAGTGATGCCCTTACACAGGCGGATGGGGATGACTTTAATCACATTGCTAAAGCCACCTACAAAAGGTCTTTAAGAAAAGACAGAATAAGCAGAAACTGCGGTGTGAAAGCTCTTCTTTTCCTTTTCCTTTTTAACCAGGTTACAACAACCCACTGAGCTCCCTGTGAATTGGGCTGACATCCCCCAGACATCCCTGCAAGCTACTAAGCATGTGAAAAATATGATAAAACTTTAAAATATGATAAAATATTTATTTCCCTACATGGTACCTGTAGTTGCATGTGCCTCAGGTAGAGGAATCTGCTGCTGAGTGCATCACTCAGAGCCATAAGCAAAACCCCCTGACCTCCATAAATGCCGCAGCATGTAAGAAAGGAAAATTCTGGCAACGCAGGCTGTGGGGTCACTGCATCTGGCCGCTTACTGGTACGTTTTTTTCCCTTCACAGATACCCTGAGGAGCATCGCCTCCATGAACCATGCACCGCGGTCCTCCCCGGCAGAACTCAGCAGTGCCAACCACCACCTGCTGCGAGAGCGCAAGTCCTCAGCGCCGTCCCACTCCAGCCAGCCCACCCTGTTCACCTTCGACTCGCCCGCCGGCCACCTCCAGAGCACCCTCTCCGCCAGTGCCCCCCAGGACTACCTTTTCCTCCACCAGTGTATGAGCAGAAAGTCAGAAAACGCAAGGTATTGTAGCCCACCTGGGAGCAAACCTCAGGGGCAGCTGAGGGAGGGCTGGGGGTGAGTGGCTCAACCCACCTCCATCCTTGGAGGTCTGCAAAACCCAGCTGGAGAAAGCCCTGAGTGATGGTCTCATCTCATCACGGTTGGGAGGAGGAGGTCGGAGTGGTGACCTCCTGAGCGAGCTCCCAGCTTTCCTGGCTTTCTGGGTTGTATTAAAAACTGGCTCAATGGCCAGACCCAGAGGGTGGTGATCAGTGGCCCAAAGTCTAGTTGGAGGCCAGTCATGGGCAGTGTACCCCAGGGGTCAATACTGGGTCCAGTCCTGTTTAACAGCTTCATTAATGATCTGGATGATGGGGCAGAGTGTACCCTCAGCCAGTTTGCTGATGACACCAAGCCAGGAGGAGTGGCTGATATACCAAGAGGGTTATGCTGATACACCAGAGGGACCTCAACAAGCTTGAGAAATGGGCCAGCAGGAACCTCATGAAGTTCAACTGGGACAAGTGTGAAGTCCTGCACCTGGGCAGGAACAACCCCAAGCACCAATATATGCTGGTGGCCGTCCAGATGGAAAGCATCTTGGCAGAAAAGGACCTGGGGGTCCTGGTGGACACCAAGCTGAACATGAGCCAGCAATGGGTCCTTGCAGCCATGGAAGCAAATGGTATCCTGGGCTGCATTAAGCCAAATATTGCCAGAAGGGCAAGGCAGGTGATCCTTCCCCTCTACTCAGCACTGGTGAGGCCACATCTGGAGTGCTGGGTCCAGTTCTGAGCTCCCCTGTACAAGAGACATGGACAGACTGGAGAGAGTTCAGCAAAGGGCCATGAAGATGCTGAAGAGACTGGAGCACCTCTCCTGAGAGGAAAGGCTGAGAGAGCTGGATCTGTTCAGCCTAGAGAAGAGAAGACTCAGGGAGGATGTCATCAATGTATATGAATACCTGCAGGGAGGATGCAAAGAGGATGGAGCCAGGCTCTTGTCAGCGGTGCCCAGTGCCAGGACCAGAGGCAATGGGCACAAACTGAAAGACAGGAGGGTCCCTCTGAACATCAGGAAACACTTTTTCACTGTGAGGGTGACCGACCACTGGCACAGGTTGCCCAGGGAGGTTGTGGAATCTCCATCCCTGGAGATATTCAAAAGCCATCTGGACACAATCCTGGGCAACCAGCTCTAGGTGGCCCTGCTTGAGCAGAAGGCTTAGACCAGATGACTTCTAGAGGTCCCTTCCAACCTCAACCACTTTGTGATCCTGCAGACAAGGCCCTAATTCCTGCCTTTAACCAGAAAAACCACAACCAGAAGGATGGGCAGGGTTTGCACCGCTCTGCCGATCATCCCTTCCAGAGCTCGCTGGGCTTCGCGGCAGCCCGTGGTGCACAGTGTGGTATTTCTGAGCAAGCGACAGCTCTCTGCCTCCGGACCCAGCCGGTTGCCTTAAATAGCAAGGAGTTTTTTTGACATGAAGGGTTTTGGCTCGCGGGAACGGTGAGAAGGGAGGGAGGGAGCGGCGGTCGGAGCCCAGCTGGCGTGGGGTGAGAGCAGAGCCCAGGCTGCAGCCTCCACTGGGCTTTGCTGCTGCAGCTGCCTTTCCCTACCCGAAAAACAACAACTGAAAAAGGCTCAGAAAAATTAACTTCAGATGGACTTAATGGAACAGTGTTTAAAATAAAGGCCCTCTGACGCTCCAGCTATGAGGATACCTAAAAGCCACCCTCCGAGAGCCTGAGCGTGGCTGGGACCCGGAGGAGGAGGGAGCAAGCACCAATGCTTTGGTGGGCAGTGAAAAACTGGCCAGCGGCAGCTTCTGCAACTGGGCTAGAAATAATTGCCCTAATCAATGCCCAATGCACGGGGCCAGGCTGCAGGACTCCTGGGAATCCCTCCCCTTCCAGCTCCGGAGCTCTTACTTTACTCATCCATAAAATGAGGGTAATAGTAGCTAATTGGCAGGCAATGCTGAGTAATTAACCCATGAGATGTTTCAAGTCCTCTGCTGAAAAGACCCTGCCAGAGCAAAAACGTCTCCCGGGCAGACTGAGTTCCAAAGGCAGACTGAGTTCCAAAGGCGGCAGAGATTTGTCATATCACAGCATCACTTGTTTTTTCCGCAAATAAGCCCTATTTCTGAGCGCCATCTCGTGCTGGCTCCATGAAACAGAGTCCCTGTTGTCCCTGCAGAGTATCAATCCCGCTGGAGTCCTGTAAACCAGCATCTCCCAGCTTTTCCCATAGGGCTGGCACTTCCCCAGTGATTTGCTGCAACTGGAAACCCCCCCATAACCATTTCCCTTTTTCCCAGCATGGTGATTGATACAGGGCAGAACTCTTTTCCACGGGGAGATGTTTACATGGGGCTGGCTGAGCCCTTTCTGGCTGTGAGCATGTGGTCCCTAAAAGCCTGACCCACTCATGGTTATACCTCTGCCAGCAAAAAGACACAGCCCAAGGCTATCTCTCACCGTCTCCTGGTGTATATGCATTAGCTCTTCATGGCAGGGTAACCCTTTTTTGGAGCTTTGCTGTATCTTCTTCTTCCACGCTGCTTCAGCCAGCTGAGGGAAGGTATCGTTATCACCCGTGCTCAGCTCTGCCGCATCTTGCCCTTGTGTCCCAGCACTTCCAATGCAATGCTCACATTTCCCCAAGTCTTGCAGGATGGGGAGCTGCTTTGTGGTGGCAGGGGTTGAGGATGGGGGAAAGAAAAGTCCCAAGTGGCCAATTCAAGCATCCCCTGACTTGAGAAAATGTCATCTACTGGGGTTGTGGATGCAGAAAGCCAATCCCATGGGGCTCATCGTCTTCTGCAACACTGGAGTGTTGATAGAGGAAGCAGTAGGAGGGTTCAAACAGAAGATGAAACACCTTGGAGGGAATCAGCAGAGGAGCGGTGGATAACAAGCAGTTGTTAGAGGATCGAGGTCTCCCCAGTGCTCATCCTCCGTCCTGGCTAGTGTCCCTGGGCATGTCCACAATATAAATCAAGGAATTATTAGCAAGGCACGGACCTTGTGACCATGATGCCCTGCTTACCCTGCAGGACTCGAGGCCTTTCATAAATCTGAATTCAGCCCTGAGGTTCATTCTTCCTCCCCTGCGGATCAGGGCTGCAAATTCCAAACCCCAGCTGGGGACTGCCCTCACCTCCCCAGGGCTTGTCCCACAAGAGGACAGGGTGGTGGCATGGCTGGAGGCTTTGAAATAATCCCCATCATGAATTTTTCAAGTCCCTCTCAAAAATGTTTGCGAGACAGAGGTGAGAGTAAGCCTCCCTCCTGCACTGCGGATGGGCGGCCAATGCATGATGGCGATGCTGATGGGGTGGCTTTTTGCAGCCATGTCTTGGGTCACTGTCAGCTGGTGTGAAAATTGCCCTTTTGGAGCAATTTATATCTGGATAAAAGGCTTGTTCTTGCCCGTAGCCTTATCATGGAGCTGGGTGCAGGTACCTCCCACCCATGACAGAGGCATTTTTGAAGGTGTTTCAGGATAAAATGGGTTGTGGGCATGTTTGGAGGGGTCTGAGATGTTCCCATTGCCCTGGGGTTGGGCAATGTGGGTTGGGAAGGTGACAAATGGGGGGAGCAGAGCTCTGTGCACCCCAGGACCGGCTCCCCCCCCCATCTCAGCCCCTTTCTCCCTTTCGTCTGCAGAAGCGCCAGCTTCTCCCAGGCCACAAGGTCCGCCTTCTTCATGCGGAGCGACACAGCGGTCCAGAAGCTCTCACAGGGCAACGGGCACTGCGTGAACGGGGTTGGTGGGCAGCTCCACGGCTTTTACAGCCTGCCAAAACCCAGCCGGCACAACTCGGACTTCAGGGACAGTGCATATGACCTCCCGCGCTCCTTCGGTTCCTACACCCACCCCAAATCGAGCCTCACCAGCTCCGAAACCGATAACGAGGAGGTCTACACCTACAAGACTCCCAACAACACCCTATGCAAGGAGTTTGGGGAGCTCTCCACGGACTCCTATGACATCCCTGCCACCCCACTCTCTGTCTACCAGATCCCCAGGACATTTACACTGGACAAGAACCACAATGCTCTGGCTGTGGCCGCCAGCGACTCGCCCGCTGCACCACCCCCGCGGCCCCCGAAACCCGGGCAGACGGAGCCCCGGTGGGGCAGCCCGCCCCAGCGGCCCCAACCCGGTGAAAGCTTAGGGCTGGCCCCCATGGCAGCCACCATTCCCCGGAGAAACACGCTGCCAGCGGTGGAGAACAGCAGGCTGCACCGAGGTGAATTTGGGGGTGGGGAGCTGGGGGTGGCTTTGTTGGGTCTAGCAGCCTTGGACAGGTCAAGCCTACTGGGTTGCGGTAGGGCTGGCTTAGGTTTTGGCATCAACCAGGGGATTGGACGCAAAGAAGCTCTCCCCAGTCAGGATCTGGCCTTGGGTTTTGTATGCAAAGAGGCACAGAGAGGCATCCCCAGGGCTCTGCTCACCAGAGCCGCTCAGCTGGCTTTTGGCTGTGTTGTACGTTGAACCAAAACCCCAAACCTGCTTGCCCATGCAGCCCTTCACCAGATTTTGCTGATATCAGCCTTTTTTACCTTGCTTTTACTTCAGTTCATCACCAGGTTTATCAGAACGTACTTCAGCCTGGAGCTGCCTTGGTTTTGCTCACCAGACAGGGATGTAATTTTGCACATCTACAAGACACAACATCCCCAGTGCAGCAGAGCCGCCCTTCCCATTGGCCATGGATGGGCTGTGGATGAATGTGTCCTTTCCAAACCTTGTGCCTAGGATGAGATAGTTGCAAGGTAACTTAGAAGAGGTGGTTGGAGAGAAAACATACTGTAAACGATACACACAGATCCCTGAAATGCCTCTTCCATCTCGTCCTACCTAAATACCAACATTAAGGCTGAGATCAGACCCATGCTCAGCAGTAGACAGACCAGTCTAAGAGCTTAGCACCCCCTCCTCACCCCATCCTCCCCTTACCGGAGGCTTTACATCTGCTGAGCGAGCTGTAATGGAACTCTCCCTTAACACAGTTTTGTCGCCGTGATCTACCTTATCTGACATCTTTACCCCTGGGATTTTGCAGCACTTTGACAGAACCAGGTTAGGTCCGCGTGGCACATGCAGTTGTGTGGATGCATGAGAGAGATGCTAACTGGGAGTGAGCATAGCAGGGAGTCTGTCACAGGCTAAAAACCATGTCTTCCCACCAGCATCTCAATCATCAGGAAGAGATACTGCCCTCCCAGTACCTGGATTTTGTTTTCAAGGGCCCCTTTTACTAGCAGTTGCATTGGGACACATTGTGCATTTGTGGTTGTGTTGCAGCTTCTTCTTGCGAGACGTACGAATACCCCCAGCACGGGGGAGGCAGCGCTGTGCAGTCAGTCGAGTCAATGAATGACGGGTACAACTCCTACCTGGTGAGTTGGCCTTGGTGTCGGCCACCACACTAAAGGCACCGGTTGCACCTTATAGATTCAGAGAGAAGTGGGTTCCGGGTTGGACCTCACAGCCCAGTCCTGCAGAGTTAAGTCCAAAAGGGTTTTATTACTGATTTCAGTTAAAACCATGGTGGCCTGCAGGGTAGAGATGGAGGGACGACCACCTAACCCAGCACCACATGCAGAGTTTTGCTTTAGGTGCTTCCACAGAGTGTGTCTGCCCGGAGCTTTGACCCAAAAAAAGCACCCAGGAGTTTGGCTTCTTCCTGAAAGCCTGAGATGCTGCTGAGCTGAATTTTGACGTATCGCCAGAACAGCCTCTTTTGTACACTTTCTAAGACTTCCTGAGCTGGAAATGACATTAAAGCAGCCTTTCATATTGCTTTTTAGTCATGGCCAGAGCCCAGGGAAAAATGACTTTCCAGGTTAAGCATGCTTCTGCAGCTCACTCTGATCATGAGAAGAGGCTCAACTCTGGCCAATTAAGACCTTTCCCTGAACTCAGGATGTTGCAATGTCTTGGAAACAGCTGAGGTAGGCCATCTCAGTGCAAACTGATGGCCGAGGACGGGACAGACCATCCCTTCCCTCTGTGCTGATATTTTAGAGCTGGTCCCACCTCAGATGTGTGTTCGGTGATGATGAGATGAAGGGGTTTGTAGTGGGATGGGGTTGAGTAGTGTCTGATGCTCACAGCACGTCCTCCCACTTGTCCCCCAGCAAGCCAAGGCAGTGGTGGCCCGCTCCCACAGCACCGACTCCGAGGACAACTATGTCCCCATGAACCCCGGTTCCTCACCCTTGATCCACACCGAGAAAGCCAATGACAATGCCCAAAATCTCTACATCCCCATGAGCCCTGGGCCGCATCACTTTGACCTGGTGGGGTTGTCCTCGGCCACCCTCCCCGTGCATAAAGGAGGAGCCATGGCGCAGTGCCACAGACGGTTGAGTGAGATCCAGCCCCCGCCAGTGAACCGCAACCTCAAACCCGACCGGAAAGGTAAGAATAGTTGTTTGTGGGCAAATCTTTCCAGGAACCCTTCCGTTCTTGTAAGACTTCAGACTACATCTGTCATCTTGCGCACACGCAATAGAATCCTATGTGAAGTGTGCTTTGCTACGGCCAGCACAGTCAGACCCTTTGGATCTTCCCCATCCCCTTCCTCTTTCAGGACGACTATGGTGCAAATGCAGCTTTCATGGTGCTTGAAGAGCCCATCTCAAGCCCTTCCTGGTCTTTACAGGAGATGCATGTCACAGGCAGGATCTCCCCCTCTTTGCCTGCTCCCCTCTTTACTCTCCACCCCAAAATTTCTGTGTTGTATTCAGATGACCCAAATTTCTCCTACTGTTTCCTACTGGCTGGCTCTAGGCAGTTCTTCCATCAGGGCTTTGACTGCATTCTCCAAATCCCTCCCCAAACCATTGCCTGACAGGTCACCAAGGAGCTGCTGAGAAGGAGGGCTTCCACCATTAGGGTCTCAACACCTAGCCCCATCAACACACTAGGCGAGGGCTGGGACTGGAGTGCAGCGCTCTTCTCTTCCACCTAATGAACCATCTGTGATGAGAAGAAATTTCATGTTATCCTGCAGATGTCCTTTCCCATTCCCTGTGGGGAAACGCTCTGGCGGGAGGCAGCTCAAGGCCAACAGAGCCTGGTCTTGTCCCCATCCGATGGGTTATCACAGCTCCCTAATGAATGGGTTTATTATACTCTGGGGGTGTGGAAATTTTTAGCAGATCTCCATTCCATGGGAAGCACATTCCCCTTTTGGGGCCACCCATCCACTCTGGGGCTATGGGTCAGAGGGAGAAATTCACTGTTTTCCCCCAGTCCTGGAATAAATGAGTGCAGGGATTTTGGTTGGGGGTATTTGTCATCAGCAGGGAGGGCTGGGGGGGCTGATTAGCAGAAAGGGAAGCAATCAACAATTTGTTGGGGACCCTTTCATGCCAGTCACAGATGCTGAATTGTAGGAACACGCTGCCTCTGAATAAAGGCTTCTCCCCTCCCCAGCAAAGCCATCGCCACTGGACCTGAGGAACAACACCGTCATCGATGAGCTTCCCTTCAAATCGCCAGTCACGAAATCCTGGTCCAGGCCAACGTGAGTAATGGTTGGGGTATGAATTCTCACTTTGCTCCAACAGCAGATCTTTGGTCTCGCTCTCAGTGATGTCCACATGTAGCCACGCCGTCACCTCTGGTTTAATCCACCACATGGATTAAACGTCTCTGGCTGAGTGTAAGGGGGATGTCGACTGCCCTTCTGTCTCCGCTCACTGCAGAGGTTTCTTCTGGCCCACCATCTCTTTTTGTTGAAGGGGCATGTTCCTCATGGGTCATCTTGAATCAAGCTAGAAGTAAGCCCAGACTTTGGATGCAGACCTGAATTTCCCCAAAAGCTGCATGATCCCTTTAGCCCTCATTGTCTTCTTTGTCAATTTTAGAAACAGGAGCTGCAGAGCTGGGTCATTCCATGCAAACATCTGCACTGGGTTGAAAGTCCACCTTGACCAACACACTACCCCCATCAGGGACCAGCAGGAGCTATCTGGGAAGAGGGGCATTTATGGAGTAATTCTCTCCTAAAATATTCTGCCACACCATGGCAATTTGGGGCTCAGGGATTTCCTTGGTCACATCATGGCCAGACAGAGGACCTGGGTCAGATACTGTTGAAGCAGAGGGGCTTCTCTCTTGGACCCCTCACGAGCTTAGTCAAGTGTTGTAAGAGCCAGAGTCATATTCCCCACATCACAGCTGGTGGCAGGAAGATAAATTTGTTTAGGTCGGGATTTCACATGAAAGCCCAGCATGTGGCCGAGCAGCTAATTAAGATCCTTTGAAGACATTTCCTATTTCTGGGATCTGACAACTCCTGAGGAGCTGTGGCTCTGACACAGGACCCGTGGTCCACCATGACTCATGACCTAGCTGAGCCACCCCAACTCAGCCACACTAGGGACGCAGGGCATGATTTCACATCCAGCTCTCCCGCAAAAAACCCCGTTGTAGTCTCAAAATGCAGGGTGACACTCACAGGGTCTGAGTGAGCTGTGTTTTGGTTGCCTTGAAAGCAAAGCCTAGCCTGAAGGAAGTCTGCAAAATGAAACTGAAGCACTTCAGAGTAAAGTCTGCCGGCCAAAAATAACAGGATTCGCACAATTCCAGTTCTGCTGCTAATTCATGGTCTGCTGTTGTCCAATGAAAGGCAGAAGCAAAGCTTGGCTGCTATGACTCCTCTAATAAATTGGATTGTGTGGAGACTGACTGCAGGGCATGAGTGCTGTGTGCTGAAATCACTGCACCAGGAAGCAGCAAGCGGGGTTTGATTGACAAGATGTCCGACCCCGGAGAAGCTAATGGATTTTTCCCTTATCAGCTAATCATATGACCCTGCCTTTACTGCAGCAACAAAGAGCTTTTTAAGACGCAAGCTTTAATGCCAGACACTGATTGCATTATGTTATTCTGTATAATTAGATTTGGCCAATTGAAAGCAAGACAATGCCTTGGAGGTTTTGTTTTCCAGCAAAAAATTCGGATAGGGCCCTGCGCGGGAAACAAATCCTGGAGCTGCAGTGAGGCTGGAGGTGAGAAGCTCCGCTGAGGCTGGCCCTGCATCCTCCACAGTTAAATACTTCCTGTGAGACAGAAGAGTTCATGGACCCTGATTTGCGGAGCTGATAGCAAGAGACTTATGGGTACATAGCAAGCAAGGTGTTATTAAAAAGTCCTAGAAAGAAAAAAAACCAAGACGACTAAACCCAGTGATTTCTGAACCATAGGAAGGTCAAGTTAGGAGAATGTCAATGCCAACAGGTCTTCTTCATGCCCAGTCCCCAGCTGTGAGCATGGTGATGTTTGGAGGCATCAAGTGCTGCCCTTTCCCATCCCTCCTTGGCATTGGACAAGCAGCACCTGCAACTATCACTAACACATTGACCCTTGTCCTTACAGCCAGACTTTCAACGCCGGCTCTTTGCAATACTGTCGCCCTGTCTCCTCCCAGAGCATCACCAGCACTGACTCAGGAGACAGTGAGGAGAACTACGTGGCGATGGTAAGGGCCCCGCAGCTAAGATATATGGTCCTGGCAGGACATATACGTTCCCCAGCTCTGCAATCACATTCCTAGCTCATGACATGGAAGTGCTCAGATAGCACTGTGATGAATGTGGTGTACATCCTTATGTACATCCCTACAGGCACGAAACAGTGCCTTTCGTTCCCAAAATGACATGTCCCATTGGGGTTTTAACTGTCTATGAGAGCAGGAACATATATCACCTACTTTGCCAGGAATTAAGAGGGGATAAACACGTCTATGGACTGTCACAGTCTATTTTCCTACCAAGTTGATTTTTTTCAGGGCTTTTTTTCCCCTAATAGTTGCTGACATCTTGTTTGCGTGGAGGGCAGGGGCTATCGGAGCAGCAGCAGGGAGTGGCACTGCTTACAGGGAGGGGATTTTGTCTCTCTTTGCAAAGCTGTTGACTTGAAGCATATTTTTGAGGCTGTGTAACTAAGGGGGTAGAGGAAATCTGTGCTCTGTGTAGCGTGGTTGTGATTAGTGAAGATTCCAGAGCTGGTCTGGCCTCACTGAGGTGTGGTTCCTGGGAAATGCTGAAGCCTATGTCTGATGTCAGGCATGTGAATAAAATCAGCACAAAGGCGGCAGAATGGCTGCGATACATAAAATCAAAGAGCATGAGCTTGAAATATTTGTGAGCACAATACATATAGTCTCCCAGTGGTTCTGCACACCCTGGTCCCAGAGAGGCAGGTGAGCACATATCCAGGCTGGGACCTCTTGTAAAAGTGCCACCAAGGCATTTCATTGCCAGGTTTGTGTTAATTCCTTTTTTTTCCCTTCTTCCCATTTTAATCCTCGTTATCTCTCCTGTCTCTTCCCTGCATTAGCAAAACCCCATTTCTGCTTCTCCTGTTCCTAGTGGCACCAACAGCCCAGCGCCTAAAAAGAGTTCGGGGAGTGTGGATTATCTGGCCCTGGACTTCCAGCCAAGCTCACCAGGGCCACACAGAAAGGTATGGGGGATTTTATAAACTTCTGATTAAAAGCGATGCATTTTAAAAGTTTTTTTAACGCACATAGGCAACAGCACGGTCCAAAGCCGTGGGCAGGGTTGGTAAGTGGCACAGTAACCTCAGAGGCATGGATTTTCCTGCAGATCCACTGCTATATTTATTCTAGGTCAGACTCAGTCTCTATTGCATGTCTGCATCCTTGCTGGAAGTGTCACCAGCAGCATGGATGTGTAGGGGTTCAGGGGTGCTAATGAGACCAGAAATTCAGCTGGAGATTGTAGATTTTGTGCTGGACCAGAAATTCAGCTGGAGATTGTATATTCAAAAGCTGTTGGGAGGTATTCCAAGAAGTATCAGATTTTTTTTTCCTCCTTCAGAACAACAGGTCCTACAAAACCAGACTTGGGTTTTTCACCTGAGATACTTTCAGGACCTCATTCAGAAAATGCAGGGCACCTGTCTCCTGCCAGTCAGGTGCTTTTAAAGGGTGCCATTTGGGCAGGAAAAATATAAACTGCTTTCAAAAAGTGAAGCTGATGTTTAAAAGCTGAATTATGTTGAGCTGATCAAGCCGTTGCCTAGTGAGAAACAGCTGTGGGGAGAAGGTGGGGTGGGAATGGGATGCCTCTGCCAAGTGTCAAGTGGAAATGTGGAAGGGGAAGCTCCTAAAGACCCAGATGTTGGTGTCTTTTCTCCGGGTTCATACACAGAGGAAACAAACACCGTCTTAAAGTGAATCATAGGAAAATAGGGCAAGGGAGGACATCAGGGCATCCCCACACCCAAAGGAAAGCATCTCTCCTGAGGTGACAGATGAGGCTTAAAAGTCTGATATGATGGAGATTTCACAACCTCCCAGCAAGGCCACATACCAAGATGTAGAGGACACCCGGGGTGACAGAGTGGGCTGGGGAAGGACCAAAGGCAGGTCCTCCTGGGTGTCACCCTGAGCAAACTGGGAGGGAGAAGGAGAGACTGGTTCATGCAAAGCAGCACCTGAGCAAGGAGATGGTGAAGGACAAGGCGTTGTACAAACCTTTGTGGGAATCACCTGCGAATTGGCCTCGACTTTCCCAAACACCACCTTATTTCCTAGGCAAAGCATCCCACTGGTTAGGTCCTTTTATTATTTGACAGTTGTTCCTTGATTGTTTCTTTCTTCCCAGCAACATTTCTGCAGGTATTACCAATTTAAATTATATCCCAACCTGGAAAAGTGATTTTAGACCACTAAAAAACATCATCTGGCTCCAGTTGCAAGCAGCTGGGGGTCCTCTGAAATGCTTGTAGAGGCAGACAAGATTCCGGGACTCCAGAAACTATGGGAAAAAGTATCTCTTTCTTCCTCAACAGGTCTCCTGGGTGAACCTGCAAACATATCTGTTGTTTTGGGGATGAAAATAATCTAGTGCCATAGGTGTGTAGAGTCAGCACAGCTAAGAGGGATGGAGCTGGGGTTTTTATGTGTATCTATAAGAGTTCTTGATTTCTTTACAAGAAAATGAGCAAGATGCAACACTGCATTAGCACTATCAGCAGTTAGATAACACATTTGCAACCAAACATTCATGTCCCAGAGTTGGTGTGGAGGTAGAGACCCAGGCGCTGTTCCTACCCTCCCATTGCACCGCAGCCTGATGCAAGCAAGATGCAGAGCAGACTGAAATCTTTCATCCAAGACCTTTCGGGAGGTTAGAGGGAGGGTGGTGGGCTATGGAGTCTGAAAGAAAGCAGGGGAGGTGCCGGTGGACTTGCAGCACCCGTGGTGCTGATGCGGGAAGGAGCGAGAGGGAAGAGCAGAGAACTGACGAGTGACCAGGTGGTGGCCGTGTTTCTCCTCCCCGCAGCCCTCCACCTCCTCGGTCGCCTCGGATGAGAAGGTCGATTACGTGCAAGTGGACAAGGAGAAGACGCAGGCGCTGCAGAGCACCATGCAGGAGTGGACTGACGTGCGGCAGTCCTCGGAGCCCGCCAAGAGCACGAAGCAGTAGCGCCTGGGGCAGGCAGCAAAACAGGGAAATGTCCCAGTGGTTTTCCCCAGCTGGGGCACCGCCAGGGTGCCAGTTCCACTTGGGCTGGGTTTCTAAGACTTGTCTGTGGAGGGGGTCTTCATTATTTTTTTTTCTTTTAGGACAAAAAGAAACTTAATTTCAGGGGAAGACTTGGCGGATACTGTTTGCCAGTGATAAAGACCAACTATGTTCGGTGGCTAGGTTTGTGCTTTAGCTGCTGGATGCACTATCCAGGAACTTCGACTTAGCAATACCAGGTTTCACCCTACACATCTTTTGCTTACAGCTATTAAAGCCACCTTGTATGTGCTAACACCGCATCATCTCTCCCCGTCTTCTTCCATACTGTACCCCCAAACTGTGCCATGCAGGTTTGCAGCATCTCTCATAGGACATCATTCCCCAGCTCTGATTCCCCACTCCTTATGGTCGCCCTCTTCTCTGCCTCCTCCCAATCCCAAAACTGAGCAAGGACCATGCCTTTTGAAATCACTTTTGTTGTCCCGTCTCTTGTAAATAATATGTTCTAAACCTCTGAGGGCTATGTTCCTCCTGTTGGGACAGCCCCTGTGTTTTTGGTTGTGGTTGTTAATCTTCAGGAGCTTGAAGAGCATCCAGACTGTCCAACTGAGCTGATTTAGAAGCCCAAGATTTGCCCCATCACACACACACGTATATGCCAGCACACGCTCACACACATGCATGCATGCATGAAACAGCTAAGTTTGTTGGGGTGTGTTCTGCCTGTTGATGCTTTCCAGCATCTCTCAAAGTCAATGGGCTGGAGAGATTGGCTTTGGATGGCAGAATTTAAGCCCTGACCCACTACCTATCTGAAACCAATTGCCTGTGAATCTGGCCCTAAGAACCAAAATCTGCCCTTTGTGGCACCAAAAGAAGCCCATCGAGTGAGAGTCCTACGTCTGTGGCTGTCATGAGAAGTTCTGTGGTTGAGTACGAGGGGCGCAGGGAGGCTCTTGAGACTCTGTATATCTGGACTGGCACGAGGATGAGTGACAAGGAGGGAGTGGAACGCTGTTGGGAGGACTGGGAGAAGGCAGATGCCGTGCTGCAGTGGTTGGTCTTGGGTGAAGAGGTCCGGTGGGGTGTATCTTGGAGGAAAGCAGTAGACTAATTGAAATGTTGGTTGATGGTGAGGCCTTAGGCTTGGGAAGAGGCTGGTCAGGAGAGTCAGGGCAAGGTGTTTCAATATTAGCTTTAATGTAGCATGATGGTTGGTTTGTGGTGGGTGCAAAGGGCCGGACTAGATATTTTCTCTCCATCTTCAGCAATGTTTCTTCAACACAGAAATGGGGCTTGTTGACGTTAACGACCCTAAGCTCTAATTATGGGTGGGAATCTGCTGTTGCCCCTTGCCAGCATCCTTGACACATCCAGGCTTTGGGATTGCTCCCCAGGCAGCTGCCGGGTGCAGAGAGCCAAGAAGGAAGAGACCATTTATTGCAGAGATAATAATTCATGATCTCATGAAAACAGGAAGGACTAATGATTGCCATGGAGCAGCCTGATTGCCAGACAGCAAGCGCTGACATGAATAAACAGGCTGACTGCAAACCGAGAGCCAAACAAAGGAGACATTAGAAAGATTAGGTAATAATATTTATTAAGTAGCTGGAGCTATTCTTTCTTCAAGCTGAACCCCTCCCAGCACCACAGGCTGTATGTTTCACCAACACCACCAAGTTGTATTGATTACTGATGCTTAAGCATTAACACATTTGTTTAATCTTGGTCTGAGTTTGGAAGAGGCCAGACGTGACCCATATGAGGATAGGATACCAGTCCCTTAAAGGGCTGCATGCTGGTAAAATAAGTCTTGAGCTTCCAACAGCAGTTTATATTTTCTTCTTGCATGCCATGAAAGGTAAGGGTATTAATGGAAAAGCTCTGACAACCCTTTTAAGACATTGAAGTGTTGGCCTTTTACAGGAATAAGGAAGCAAATATCCTGATGCTTATGGTAAAAATAATAATCATCTAGGAGAAAAAAAAAAGAAAGACCCAAAGGGGAAGATCTAGCACAGCCAGATGCTTTCTGAAGGTTGGGGAGTGTGTTACAGCCTGCAAGGGCCTTTGCCTCTTGTTGGGGGCTTGCACGCTTGCATGGTGAGGTAATGAAATGAAGACCAGAGTAGAGTGCTTCGTATTTCTATAGCCCCTTTCATCACTGCATCTCGGGGGAGACTAAACATTGGGCTTGATCCAGAGCTCACTGAAGTGTGCATTCACCTGGCTGGGAGCAAGCTCCCCATCCCCACCAAAAAGCAAATATAACTCAAGTGGAAAGCTGATTTTTTTCCTATTTCATCCTCCGAAGTCTTAGGCAGACACAAAGGAAGATGAGGTTGGGGGAGAAGGGTTATGGTGCATGCTGGATGTATTTTCCTGCCAAAACTGTGCTGTTCTCCTCTCACACTAAAACGCAGCCATGTCTGGGGTGGATTGCAGCAGCAATTTGGGGAATAGCTCTTTATACTGCTTTGGGTCTCTCTGAGTAAAACAGTGCAACTATTCTCAAGATGAAACTGAGCACAGCTCCAGGCTAAAAAAATCTTGACCTGGTCCAAAAGCCTGGAGAGATTAAGTGATAGCCCATGCTCAGATTGAGCCTTTTTCTCCACCTAGGAGATGGGGAGCTCAGCAAGTCTCAAAAGTACCCTGAAAGAGGGCAGGCAGCAGCAATAGTAATTTCTGATGGTGCAGTGGCTTGAGAGACAACGCAGTGGGTTGGGATGCATTTTGCTGAGTTGGTGCCCTGTGCTTCTGCGCTGGGACTAAGTGCATCCAGTGCCCACTCCCACATTGAATCCAAAGCATTAATTAAGATTGGAAAAGCCCTTCATGGTACTGGAGAAACTAGTCCTTTTTCTCCATGTCCCACAGATGTCTGTATTTGTTCATTGGGCAAGCACTGGTATGGGATAGCTCTTTTCCCAGGCTCAGACCCCCTGTTTTGAAGATTTGCTTTCATGAGCATCCCCAGTAACAGGCGCTTTGCATTTGGCAGACCAATGACCAAAACAGCCCAAAAGTAGCTATTTTGCAACTGCTGGTTGCTGGTCCCTCTCTGCTTTGCAGTGAGGTGTATGTTTTCCCAGAAACATATATTCCTCCATTTTTTCCCTGCTAAGCATCGAGCAAATGGCCCTCCGAACTAAGTAGCAGCCCATAGACTCTATGCATTGCCATATACATATAACTATATCAACCCCTCCTGAAAGCCATTAAGTAATCAATGGCTGCAGTGGAAATAGTCATTCCTGATGGTTGCTGAGCTGATTACAGCAGTCCCTGATGATTAATGTTTGTTCAGTATTTAGTCTTAAACCATATTGAAAAGCAGCTGGTTTAATTACACGGACTGCCAAGAACTTTGTCCTGGAGGCATTGAGTTTATCACATCCACTCTATACTTGGATGCTCAAGTATGACTGACTCTTTTGTTAGAAATAGGTATTTTAGGAAGCTGAGAACATTGCAAATGATTCATTTAATTGCAATTAAAATGGCTTGAGTCTTCACGTCAGAGCCTGCTCTTCAGCTCTACGGTTCCATTTAAGAAAAGGGATATGCTTGCATGTGTGTGTGTGTGTGCTCATGGAGAAGGGTTGTCCGTGGGACAACCATCATGACCTCAATATTTAGTTTTATGAAGTACCAGGGCCATGGCTCAAAGCTCTCCACGAGCTTTAAAATGACTAAGCTGGTGGTTTTAAAGGCAGAAGTCTCCAAAAGCGTGTATCCCTTGCTGTGAGTGTATGACTGCTGCTCATGGTTCCTTTGTCTGGTGAGATGTGTGAGCTGTCTCGGAGCTGATTTGCTCTGAACTGACATTTGAGTGTTTGGTGGAAAATACATTTACAGCTCTAAATGGATGCCAGGCTTAGGCTCAGTCTCAAGTTGGAGAAAGAAAATACGTGCGAGTGCAGATTGTGCCAGGGTAAAGCTGAGTGTCTGGCAGATAGGGCCAAATCCGGAGCCAGAACCAAAAGGTGGCTAGGGCTTGGGTTGACTGGAGGCTAACTGGGATGGATTTGGATCCAGTGCCACCAGCCACTGACAAGGGTTATATACAGGGTAACGTGACATTGGGAGGAGAGAAGGCAGGGGAGTCTGCCAGTGAGATTTGAGTCTTGCCTCTCACCATGTGCCCCTTTGGCATGAGTTTCAAGTCAGATATGTAAAGAAGATTTGTGGGTTGTGGAGTGGGGTTTTGCTCAGTAAAAGCCATGCACTGGTGCGAGGGGACCTCAACCAGTCTCCAGACTTACTGAGGGCACTTCACTCTTGAGGGGGTCATCCTGCCCTACAACATGATGCCTCAGCCCTCTGGCTTTCAGGGAGCCCTGGTCCATGCACCCAGCTCGGAGCTGGGCAGGAGAAGCCCTACCAGAAATGTGGTGGGGACGTGGACATGCTGGGAGACACCTTGCTCTGGGACTCCTGTGAGCTGGTCATGGGACAGCAGTGCCATGGCTTCACGGGGTTGTCCTGCGAGGTGCCACCTCCATCCTTGGAGCTTTTCAAGACCAGGCTGGATCAACCCCATAGGTAACTCTGCTTGGAGCCGGGGGTGGGACTAGAGACATCTCTTCCCTCCAGTTTACCCTGAGACCCTGAGCTGCTGGGGCTGAGCAGAGACTCCTCCATGTGAGGGAAGGGGCCAAAGGTATTGCCTAGAGTCCTATAGCATCTGAAACTGGGCCAGGACCTCTCCTCTGGTCATGAAACCAAGTGGCAATGCACAGCTCAACCCCAGGGCCATACCCCCCAGCGAGGGGACCTAATCCACACTGGGGCCATCCCTTGCACCTGGGAGAGAGCTGGCTGGCCCAGACCAAGTCATCCAGGATACAGACACACAGTCCAAGCAACTGGGGAACAGCTTGAACCTGTAAATTTTTTAGGATAGACATTGTCCCAGAGCTCTCTGCAGCCCCACACCAGCCCCTACACCCTGGTGTCCCAGTCCCTTGAGCAAACTGGGAAGAGTTAGCTCGCTTTGGCCATCCATTGAGCATGGCTTTTTGGGAGGGGTAGAGCCATGCCCAGGTCTTACATGGTGGTAGACTTTGGTAGGAAGGTGTTTAGCTCCCAGGTCCTGTCTGATCTTCCTGGCCTAGGAGGCGAGTAAAAGGATGGTTTTCTCAAGTCATGCTTGCATTGTGTTGATGTTTTCCCACCTAGTGATGTTGCTATTCCGTGTAAAAGTTGACACTCGCCCACACTGTGTGTCCCATTGGAGGGATGTTGTCTGGTTGAGGTGGGTGCAGTGGGGCTGTGCCTATGGAGAAGCCCTACTTCCCTACTGTAATGGGAAGGGTGAAGAGCAGAGCCTAACCCCAAACCCAGCCAGAGGACACGCATGGCCATCAAAGAGCCATCAAGAAAATCAGCCGGACCAGTCCAGCATCAAATCATAAGGGCCAATAAACCAGTTTAGGGCCCCTGGTGAGTCCGTGTGCCTCTCT